TTGTGTATATTCACGACCGAGACACGAGCCATGACGGACGAGAAAGGTTCAAATTCGGGTTCGGCGGGTTCAACTCTGCACATTGTCCTCATTGCATCCATTGCAGCAGGGCTCCAGTTCGGTTGGGCCCTTCAGCTGTCTCTCCTCACTCCCTACACTCAACTACTAGGCGTGGCCCATCAATGGGCCGCTATAGTCTGGCTTACCGGGCCCATTTCAGGTCTGCTTGTCCAGCCCATTGTCGGCTACTTCAGTGACAAGCTCGGGAGGCGTGTCCCCTTCATTGCTTCCGGCGCAGCCCTTGTAGCTGTGGCAGTTGTTCTAATCGGTTATGCCGCTGACATGGGCCACAGCTTCGGTGACCCGCTCGAGAAAACCGTCCCTAAGCCCAAAGCACTCCTCATTTTCGTGATCGGTTTTTGGATTCTTGATGTTGCCAACAACACCGTGCAGGTGAACGACTGATCGATTGATTGATGGACTGATTGATTAACATTTTTCCTTCTTTTTTTTTTTGTTGCACGCAAAATTTTATTTTCTTTTTTTCGTGTGGGGCCCCTGGAATGCAGGGGCCGTGCAGGGCAATGCTGGCGGATTTGTCGAATGGGGACGCGCGCAAGATAAGCACGGCTAACGCTCTCTTCTCGTTCTTCATGGCGGTGGGGAACGTGCTGGGGTACGCGGCCGGTTCGTACACCAAGCTGTACAGGATCTTTCCCTTCACGATGACAACGGCTTGCGATGTGTACTGCGCGAATCTCAAGAGTTGCTTCATAATCTCGGCTACGCTGCTGCTGACTCTGACGATCATAGCGCTCAGCATTGTTCGGGAGAAGTCCGGTTCGGCAGCTGCAAGGAAGGCTGAGGCGGCTCAAAACGGAAGCAAAGGATTTAAGATTTTGGGAGCTCTCAAGGGGCTGCCCAAGTCCATGTGGCTGCTATTCCTTGTCACGAGCATTAATTGGATCGCATGGTTTCCTTTTCTTCTGTTCGACACGGATTGGATGGGTCGGGAAGTGTACGGTGGGACCGTGGGAGATGATTTGTACGATCGTGGGGTGCGTGCAGGGGCTATTGGCCTCATGTTGCAGGCTATCGTGCTCGGTTTTTCGTCGTTGGGTGTGCAGGCAATGGCTACGGGGATTAATCGAGTGAAGCAGTTGTGGGGAGGAGTTAACATAATCTTGGCCGTTGGATTGGGGATGATGGTGCTCGTCACAAAGATGGCTGAGCACGCGAGGGCTGCGGCTGGCGGGAGCCTCTCAGCTCCGCCAGCTGACGTGAAGAACGGTGCTCTCGCCATCTTTGCTGTACTCGGAATTCCTCTAGCGGTGAGTTTTTTTTTTTGTCGGAAGCGAATGTTAAACTGGAAATGAATTCGCTCGATTCATCGTGTTTTTTCTTTTTTGTGTTGGCGTAGGTGAACTTCAGTCTTCCATTTGCTCTGGCTTCAATCTATTCATCAAACTCCACAACTGCTGGACAAGGTGAATTTCAAGAACTAACAATAATGTGGTTCATTAGTACATTTTTTGATGAGTACTATTATGTTTGCGTTAGTGGTACTAACTTGTTCTTTATCAAATGTGAATAATTTTTTTTTATAAAAAAAAAATTATGGACAGGTCTATCTCTTGGGCTTCTCAATCTTGCTATAGTGATTCCTCAGATGATAGTGTCGGTGTCGAGTGGGCCGTTGGACGAGGCATTTGGCGGCGGCAACCTGCCGGCATTTGTGATGGGAGCGGTGGCTGCCGTAATAAGTGCCGTTTTGGCCGTCACTGTACTGCCGACGACCCCATCTCCGGATGGTGGATCTGCCAGGATTTTCGTCGCGGGTGGTGGACATTGATCATCAACTTAAATATTTTTATGTAGAATATTGAATTTCTCTATTCAGATTGTAATTTTTTCTTTAATTTCTTTATTCAATATTTATTCAGCTTGTTGTTTGTTGCACAACCTTGAAGACAAGTATTTGAATTAAATCAAAATTTAAATAAAATATTTTTTTTGGGATATTATTGGAAATTATTATGTTGGGAAATTGTTGTTGCCATAATTTTCTTATATTACATGTTAATGTAAAAGGGGCTGTAAAAAACTAACAAGCCCAATAGACAACTTACATAAAATGGTACATAAAAACCATCTTTTTTAATTCTCAATGAAATCCTCCGGCGGTGGTGACAACCTTGGCATCACTTGGCGGCGACGGCAGCATTGTGAGGGCGAAGATGCCGCTGGCGGCAGCTGCCACCGCACCCACCACGAACGCCGGCAAGTTTCCCCCTCCGAATAGCTCGTCCCATGGCCCGCTAGCCACCGACACGAACATCTACATTTGTAAAATAAGGTCCTAAAATTTAGGATTGATTTAAATAAAGATCCTTTTATTACATGTTTATTGCACTTTTCAATGATTTTCGTAAATTAAAAGAATAATGCCATTCAGAAATCAATGACAAAAATAAACTACAAGTCAATCATTCGTAAACGATAAACAATACTACCTCCTAGTTTTTTTAAATGTCATTTTGGCATTATCAAGTTTTAACAAAATAAATGTCATTTTGGGTATTTTGTACATAGTTTTCCATTATTATCCTCATCTAACTAATAAATACACTACGTCTTTTCATATTCACTCTTCTTTTCTCAAAACATTCATCTCTATCCTCATTAATGAGGGTTATTATTGGCAAAAAAAATATTCTTAATAACTGTGCAATTTTTCAAAACAACAAATATTATGAATAGGAGGGAGTAGTTTATTTTTGAGAAAAAATTGCGGTTTTGGTTCACTGACTTAGGGTGTGTCATTTGTGTTCAACAATTTATTAATGTCTGAAATTTGTCAAATAACTCTTCAATTTTAGTTAATTTGTTTCGATCCCGAACATCAGAATCCGACAATTATTTGGTTCAAAATTGGTCCAACTCATATTTTCGTCAATTGGGTCCAAAATTTGGACTCAATTGACTAAACTATAAGGGTTATCGCACCAAGTTCATACCCCAATAAATTACATGGTGAAAAAGAGAAACGACTCAAGTTACTAGACTAAACTGCATTTATTTTTTTTTCGTATATTTGTAATTTAAAAAAAAAAAGTTTTGTCAATATGTAAATAAAATGAAATTTGTTGACCAATTTTCTTATCAAATAGATAATATGTTAGTAAAATGTTACCTGTGGAATGACAATTGCAAGATTCAGAACTCCCAGAGACAGACCTGCATATAATGAGATTATTGTTCAGAAAATAATAAAAGAAAAAATAGACAACACATAATAAATATATATATATATATATAATTATAATTATAATTGTTGTGATATAGGCAGCAGGCTTATTTTTGTTTTACCTTGTCCAGCCCCAGAATTACTGGAAAATATGGAAGCCAAAGCAAATGGAATGCTGAAAGTCGCCTGAAAAAAGGAAAAGGAAAAAGAATTGTCGCTCTGTTTAATCTTTTCAATAAATTCTAAATTCTCTTCGAAGGAAGATTTCGGACACGAACCGTGACTTGAACTATGACGAAGCCAATTTTGAGTGAAAATTAATGTTTGAGCAATTTTAGGGGTCAATGAACTTTGAAAATCATCAATCATTGAAGCAAATTAAATGCTTTTATAATTTATATGTATAAATAAAAAACCAGTATAATATATATGCATAAAAATTAATTTTCGGTTCGGTATGGTTAACCGATCACAATTATCCAAACCGAACCGAAAACCAAAATTTAAAAAATATGTAAATCGAAAACCGAACCAAATAATCGATTTCAGTTTCAGTCCAAACCAAATTTTCAGTTTCAATCGATTCTGCTCGGTTAATCGAACTTTGTGCACCCTATGTCTAGTAATATTTCTAATATGAAAATTATTACCAAAGGAACCAAATTTTTAACTTTTGGTGACTGACCATAGTATCAGATTCTTAGTCAGTCTTTTTATTTCATCATAGTGCCAAAAATGCATTTATATATGCTATTCTTTGTCCTATCCAAGGAGAATGAAAAATTAAAGCAAAATTTCACAGTCCCTTTTGTTTTCCTTTTTAAAATTCTTGTTTGTGGCACTTGGAAAACGATTTACTAGTTTCAATTTTTTTTTTATTATTTTTTTGAAAATATATAGAAGCAAACAAAACAACCTGATTTTTATTCTTATTGGTGTATAAAAGCTATATTCCAATATCTGATCACAATCATGAAAATGCTATTCTAATCCATTGTCAATGTATGGGGAAATGATAAGGTCCTGTTACTGAACCATTCCGTCGAGATTTGTAACCGTTAGATCATCATGTTATCATCAATGATAGTTGATCTAACGATTACAAACTCCGACAATAAGTGGATCGTGACATCTTTCCAATGTATATATACCAAAACTAAGAAAGACTTGTTTTTGGATTTTGTTGGGCACCAAGTAAAAGGGATCAAACTTTCTCTTGAATCAAATAAGAAAATGTTTGTATATATTTAATGACAATTACCCCATTCATAAACAAATTTAAAATGAATAAATAGTAACTTAAGCTTACAAATTGCATGAAATTAGTTAATAAATAAAACTAATTCTAAAATAACTGTGTATGCACCATTATATTAACTAGTATTATGCAAATAAAATTTTATATGTTATATGTACGTGTGTAATATTTAAAATTATAAGTTAGATAACAGCATATATCACATTTTACAAATTTTATCTTTAGTAAATATGAACAATAAACTATTAACTTACATATTAATTTTTATATCGTTTGCAATTATATAATTTTTGCAATATTTTTTATTATGAACAATTGATTAGATAAAACAATATTGAAATTATTATTATTATAGTAATTGTGTTTAGAAATTTTAAAAATTTTGGTTATATCATAAAAATAATAACTAATGTTAATAAAAACACCAAAAAAAAAAGGAAACTGACCGCCAAAGGCACGCCGAGCACCGCGAAAAGCACCAGCGCCCCAACCTTCACCCCCGCTGCCGGTTGATGCTCCACGCCGCCGCCGACGCCGTGCCGCCTCGACTCCTGCGCCGACTTCGTAATCACCACCGTCATCGCCAAACACGCCGCCAGCAGGAAATTCACCCCTCCCCACATCTTCTTCACCCTCCCTGGCCCACGCGCCACGGCCTGCACTCCTAGCGAGGCCAGGCCCAACACCACCGAGTTCAGCATCAGACCCAATGCCCCGGTCCTTACCCCTCTATCATACAGCACGTTCCCCACATCACCCCCAAACACTTCCCGGCCCATCCAGTCCGTATCAAACAGCAGAAACGGGAACCACGCCACCCAGTTCAGACACGTCACCAGCAAAAGCACCCACATCGGCCTCGGCAGGTCCCGCAGCGCAGAGATTAATTCCCCAAAAACCGGGATTCTTTTCTTCCCGTTTTTCGCCGCCTGCGGCTCGGGTAACACGAAAACCGACTCTCGGACGACGGTTAGCGCCACTATAGTGACGGTGAGTAGTAAGGCAATGGAGATGAAAAAACACGACTTTAGGTTCGCGCAGTAAACATCGCAGGCTCGGGTTTTCGAAAAGGGGAAGACTCGGTACAGGTGCGTGTACGAGCCCGCGGCGTAACCGAGCACATTGCCGACCGCCATGAAGAAGGAGTAGAGCGCGTTAGCCATGCTCATTTTTCTCGAGCTGCCATGCGACAAGTCGGCTAGAAGTGCCCTGCATGGCCCCTGTTTTGGCGGGAAAAATTGGTCGAGTCGATATAAAGATGGTTAGTTTAGTTTAATCGAATTCGAAATAGTTTAGTTTTATGTGCAAATGTGTGTCGTAAATTCTAAGGTTGGAGATACTTCAGCTACCTAATCGAGAAAGTAATATATCGGAGATCAGTTATGTGGTTAATTATGTGTAAATATGTGTCGTAAATTCGAACAACTTTGAATAACGATGAGTAAATTCAGACTTTTGAAGTGAGTTTAGTCGAAATTGAGTAGGAAAAGAAAATTTGAGGAACGCTTGTAAGTGAGTCGATCAAGATCTCAAAGGCTTAATTGGGATTTGAGATATTTTTGGTACCTAATCGAGAGGTAATATTGAATTTAAATTATGTGATTATTATGATTATGTGGTAATATCGAAATCTAATAATGTGAAAATATGTTCATATAAAGATATTTCAGCTACCTAATCGAGAGGTAATATCAAATCCGAAAAATTTGAATTACGCGTGATTGTGTGTTGATATGCGTCGTAAACACTGACGATTCGAATAACGACGAATAATTCACACATTTGGGAGTGAAAGTTAGAGGAGAGATTTGTCGAAAAAATGCCTTTTTTGAGAATTAATTTTCTTCGATTTTTACCTGCAACGTATTGTTGGCGACATCTAGAATCCAAAATCCGACGACAAATACAGCTATTGCCCGGGGCTTGGAGGCCCTCTCGAGCGAGTCCCCACTTGCGTGGCCCAAATCGGCGGCGAAGCCGATCAGGAAGACTGCAACGGCGACGAGGCCGGATCCGGCGGCTATAAAAGGGCGGCGTCGGCCGAATCGCGACGTGCAGTTGTCGCTGTAGAAGCCGACGATGGGCTGGACGAGGAGGCCGGAGATGGGCCCACATAGCCAGATGATGGCAGCCCACGCGTGGGGTATGCCGAGCAGCTGCACGTACGGGGTGAGTAGGGAGAGCTGTAGGGCCCACCCGAACTGGACCCCGGCGGCTATTGCCGCCACAAGGATGATCTTGTACAGCGGCTCCGGAGGCGGCGGGGCCGCCGTAGAAGTTTTAATATGTCCCACGGCTTCCATTACTTTTTTTTTATTATTATTATTTTTAGAGTGTTTGGTAGTATTGAATTGGGATTTTGTTGATTTGTGTGTTTGAGTGTGTATAGTGGAGGTGATATTTATAATGGTTTTTTGGCGGGGTTTTGGTATCCTATTATCCATTGGAATTTTTTTTTTTTTTGGGTGGTGTTAAAAAAAAAAGGCAATCTATATATATATATGTATAATTACTTAATAAAACCTATTGTCATTTCTCTCCAAAAAAGTTACATTATTTTCATTAAGTACTCACAAATGTGCTAAAATCGTTACACATTAATATATATATATTTTTATTATTTATTTCTAAATTTGTTATCAAAATATTTAAATGTGTAACGACTAATGTTGGAACTTAAAGTTGATTGCCACATTCAGAGCTGTAACCGTTATATTTGGTTACATTGTTGGAAGAAAAATATGATTGACACATATTTTTTTCTAAACATCAGAAACACCAATAATTATTTTTATTAATGTTAATTTTTCTAATATATGTCACAGATATATAAATTATTTTATTCATGTTACTAATTTAAATATTGCATGGTTAAAACAAAATTTTAAATCTCAATTAATTGATTGATAAAAATAACTTAAGAAAAAGTAACAATTTTTATATGATAAAAGTATATACTTAATTAATAAATACAAACAAAAACGTGTTTTATATTTGTACAAACGCACAAGATAAAATCTCTATATATAATTACAAGCTAATAATATTTAATAAAACCTATTTAATTTTACCTATGTGTCAATTTAACCATTTTTCCTCCAAAAACCGTTACTTTTGATGTATTTAATCTTTTATTTTTATTAAATAATCAATACTAATCACTACAAAATTACAAAAATCATTTTAAACTTTTGATTACTAACAGTTGACCATATAATGTGTTGACGTATAATGTGATTAGATGTTATTATTGTGGTTACAAAATTATTTTCTTTAAAACAAAAAACGTATTTAAATTTTCTAAATAAGTAATAAATAAATCGCAAAAAAAAACGTACCAAAATATACATTACATCCAATCAGATAAATGCAATTTAAAAATAAATAAATATTCCAACTCTTTTAATTATAAATTTGGCCAGTAAAAAAGTACAGAAAAGTGAAAGAAAATAATTAATCATTATATTATATGCATATAAATAACTAATAATACTTTATTACATATGTGCAAATGCACAATGTCAATGCTAGTACTAGTAAATAGAAAGAGCCAAAGAGGAATTTGAAGACACGTAAGGTCAATAAATTCTATTTATCTATTGCAGCTTTTCTGGTATGGAGGTAAATAGAGAATCAGGTTTGAGTATGTTATGTAGGGTGTGTCTATTAAATATATATATATATATAGGTCAAAATCTAATTGTTAATTTAATTGAATTATGGGTGAGCATCGGTGCGGTTTGGTCAAAAACCGTACTGCATCGAAAAAAACTAAAATCGAATCTTTAAAATTTCTTCACCGAACTGCCCGCAATAGAAGGAAAAAACCGAACCGAACCGAAAATTTCAGATCGATTTGGTGCAATTTTCGGTTAACCGAAATTAAAAAAGATAACCACCGATTAATGTAATGTAAGTAAAAGTGTAAAAAATAAGGTGATATCTCTCTCTATATATTAATTCAAAACGTGTTGAGCTTAAGTGGTAGATTCTCACGCTTCATATGCTGATATGGCGAAAATTTATGCTTTGTGATGTTGTTTTTATATTATTTGTGCTCTGTAGCTAGATTTGGTATTAGACATAAATAACTTTTATCATATTTCTCAACTCAACACCCTTGTTGTACGCGAGTATTTTACTAGTTTTATTAAAAAAAAAAATACAAAAAGGTGATGTTTTATGACATTCGTTGCGGTTCGGTTAAAACCGCACCCTTCGGACAGAATACCGAATCGCACCTTTGCGGTTTTCCAAAACCCAAACCGCACCCGAGCTCTTCAAAAACCGCGCCGAACCGTACCGAATAGATTCGGTGAGGTTTTTAGTTTTTAACTCGGTTTTGCTCACCCCTAAATTGGATCATGTAATAAAAGATGAAGTGACATAAAATGCGAACTCATAGTAAAATAATTGATAAAAATTCTCCAATGGAGGGATTTCGGATTATTATAATACCATTTGGTAAATTTTTTGTTCTCAATCTTATTTACTTTTTTTCCTTCAATCAATTCTAAATTATTTACTACATTTTCATTTATTATTATTTTTCAAATATAATATATTAACCTAATCACCTTGCATATAACTAAAGTTAAAAATTATGTAATTGAAATAGAGAAATGGTTTAACCCAAAAATAAGTTTCAGAATTTTTTTAGTTCTCCTTTAATGTTATGCACTTCACTTAGTTGTTTTTTCTTTTTACTTCTTTCATCAAAATACAGTGACTTAATTAAAAACATTTTTAAACAAAATGACTCGTTCATGAGTTCGTGCTCGTTCAATTAACAAGTCGGGCTTCACTAAACTTGTTACGACTCGCAAAAAAAATGGCTTCTATGTATTTAAAGATCGAGCTCGAGTTGTTTATACATGTAGGTACGTGGTCCATAAAGTATATATATGATTTGGACTTTCACCAAAAACATTTTATGTGGACCAATTAATTTGGTCATAAATTCATGCATATAATTATTCCTATTGCATAAGTGACATTCAGATATTTCATAAAAAACGATAAAATACAAAAACAAAAGGAATTTTATCCATTAAATGGTATAAAAGTATATTAATATTCTGAAAGAATAATTTTTTTGCCTACTATATGTGGACTGTCATGTATCGATCATAAGGTTCATTTCTTCACCATCTTACCTATTGCAAAACACCAAATATTTAACTAATATATATTCTTCTCTATTTACAAATATAAAGTATTGTTTTAAAATATTTAATATATTAACCAAACTATCTGATTACCTAATATTACAACAAATTTTAATATGACTAATGTTATACATAAAAATTACTTGTACGTTTTGGGTCTACCCACACGTTGGGCGTTTGGAAGTGTATCAATGGAAATTGGGCCCCGCCTCTAAATGGGCCTAAATTGTAAACACAAATTGCCCAAGAAATCATACTACCAGTGTTTTATCGATCACTCTAGAGAAAATTGCACAGTATACAATATATATCAGCTTTAATTACATAAATAAAATGGAATAAAACTTCATTGTAAATATTAACAAATATACAAGATTCCATCTTTGTAATTGCAAACTTACCAGATAATTAAGTCTTCATAATTAAAAGTGACTTATCACCTTCCAAACAGATTTATTTTCCCACAACTTTGCTAAGAAACCAGATGGTTGGTTCCTTTATGGAATCAACCACCAAAGAGACAGTGCCACATGGGGCTGTCCCACATGGCTGTCCCACATGATTTTCATGTGGGACAGCCCCATGTGGCACTGTCTCATTGGTGGTTGTTTCCATAAGGGAACCAACCATGTGGTTTCATAGAAGAATTGTATTTTCCCATTCACGCAATCTCTCTCTCTCTCTCTCTCTCTCTCTCTCTCTCTCTCTCTCTCTCTCTCTCTCTCTCTCTCTCTCTCTCTCTTCTTCCGACTAATTAACTCTTCTTGATCTGGCTCTGTTTTTTTCTCATTCACATACATACATAAAGCTCGAATTTTTAATTTAATTTTGATCGATAGGAAGGAAAAAATCAACGAAAGAGAAAAAAAATTCCTTTTCGTGTTTGTTCATCATCTGCGAAAAAAATGGTGAAAAGCGATTTTTGATTTGAAACGGAGCTGAGGCTGGGGCTTTTCGGAGGCGGCCTGGCGGAGGCGAGGTGGAGAGGGACAAGATGAAGAGAGTGTTTTTGGATATCGCTATTGCCGGTGGCAGCGGCGGGGTGGAGGAGGGGAAGGTAGAGGCGGTGAAAAGTAAGAATCAAGTGGTGGGGGTGGCCGCCGGTGGCGTCTTACCGGAGGACAAATAACTTCGGCCGGGCGAAGATGTACGTGAAGGTTAGCATGGACGGTGCAGAAAATTGGTGTTATATGTTCGATTTACATATGTTCTGTATATACTCGGTATATGTTTCGTATACATACATAAACCCAAAAAATTGGAGTTATTTTCAGTATATGTTCTGTATATGATCGGTATATGTTTGGTATATGATTAGTCGAGAAACGTGCTCGCTTTAATCAGTTAATTTTGTAATAGTGCACGTT